ATTCATCTGTGTATATTGTGGTTAAAAGCATTGTGTATAATCATTCAGCCAAGCCAATCTAAAGTTAGAGCACGGAAACCAATTTCGTGACGTATGTACGGACGGACGGACGGACGTACGGACGGATGGACAGGGTTAACACTTAATTCCCTCTTCGCCTAGCGGCGGGGGCATACAAATAATATTTTCTCTAAACAAATTTGGACTGTTGCCGAATAACTTTAAGTTGTTCTCAGTTCTGTGTGGTGATGGTCTCAAGGTCTCTATACTTTTGGTGAAATTTTAACCTTTCATTTTAGTTGGATTGACATTATTCATTACAAAAGGGGGGGTTCACGCTGCGCTGTATCTTGATAATACCTTGCTTGATTAACTTAAAACTTCACACTGTTGTTTTTAATGATAGTCTAATGCTCTGTATAATTTTGTTAAATTTTGATTGTTCCTTCCAGAGTTTTTCTTATAAAAAAGGGGAGGCAATTTTTTACATGTCACACTTGTGTCTTGAGATTGTCTTGCTTTAAATCAAAATTTATATTAATTGACATTTATTAATTAATGGGGAAAATGTTATTTATCAAATTTAAGCAGTTGATAAGAATAATGAAAGTGTTTTATCAATATCTTATGTTCCTGTAAGCCTTTGAATAAAATTTGGTTCAAGATGTGTATTGATATCAGAGTTGATCCCCACACTTTTAGAACTGCTATTATTCTCATTTTTTCATAGGCAAATAAGGGTATTGATACAATACCAGTATGATAGACAACTGTCATTATTTTCAAACAATTACACCCAAAGGTGTAAGTATTAATTGATTTCAATTGCACTCAACTGCAGTTGTAATTGACTACAGTTAATATATCATAACAATTGATAATCATACTGGAATTGAGGTCAGGAATTTTTGTATTCAATTTTTTACAACTCTAATTGAATAAAATTATTCTGTTATTTTTTGTGTGAAAGCTGACTGATTAATAAGATGTGGGGTTTTATTTTCAAAGAAGAGACTAAAAATAGAATATGTATAAACATGCAATCAGATTTTATTTCACTTGTAAAATCAGTGTCATAATCAACTGACATAAGTTAATAATTAAGGTCTATTTAAGTTACAATTATCAGTAATTTGGTTGAAACAATAAACAAAATCGATATGAAACTTATACACAATACTTATAACCACAATATACAGATCAAGTTCGAATTTGGGTATTGTTACTGTTACCGTTCACAATTTATGCCCCTTTAGAACTTATGGGGAGCGGGGGCATCTGAATCCAATGAACACTTTCTTCAATTTTTTTAATATGTATTTTGGAGAAATAATGTAAATTTCCTAGAGAATTTTAAGAATTAATAAAATGCTTCGCAGAGCGCAGCCTGATTTGACCCCAGAGGTCGAACCATGAACAGTTGGGGCAAGTTTGGACACAATATTAAAGCTTGATACTGTCGGAACTTGGATTGTGATCAAATTTTGACATAATATAGGTTTCTGACACAAAATAAATGTGGTCGAAGATCTTAAAAATTTGAAATGTGACATTTAATTTACCTAGTATGGTCTGATATCCAAATTCTAACAACATGGTTAGATTCAGCATATAAAAAAACACCAAACATTTAATTTTAGTTGAAATCAAACAAAAGTTAAATTTTTTACCCTTCAAACCTTAATATGAACTAATTTGAAAACAGGGCCCAAAATCAAAAATCTAAATGCACAATAAGATTCAGCATATCATAGACCCGCAATGATTCAGTTTTTGATGAAATCAAACAAACTTTAATTTTGGACCCTTTGGACCTCAATCTAGACCAATTTAAAAATGGGGCCCAATATCCAAAATAGTATAACAAGGTTAGAACCCCCAAAAATTAAAGAAAATTAATCCCATTGAAATTGGTTAAAAGTTTTTTTTTATTTATTTTCAATTGAAGATTTCTTGCTATTGCGCAATACTGTGCTATTCCGCAATACTGTGCTATTGCGCAATACTGTGCTGTTGCATAATACTTAGTTAATCTGTTATATGTAATAATTTACACACCCTGTTTGGTGTGTATCTCCTGCCATACCAGTATTTGTTTCTTTTATATATAAATCAGAAATAATCAATGTAAAAATGGAAATTTTTGGAAAAAAAAAAAAAAAAAATATTTTTAAAAATCCCCAAATAAATGTCCCCCCCAAAAAAAATTTGAAACTTTGAGAAATCTTGAAGAAACAAAATATGAACCCCCAAAAAAATTGAAAAAAAAAATCCCCCAAACTTTTTGAACCCCCCCCCCCCCCCCCCCCCCCTCCCCCCCGCAAACTCAATCACAGCCTTCCCTTTGTGATATGGAACCTTGTGGTACAATTTCAGAGAGATCCATACACTTACACACAATTTATTGTCCGGTAACTACAAAGTGCTTCTTTTTGGCCCATAATTCCTTAACTGTTGGTACCATAACCCCCAAAATCAATCCCAACCTTCCTTTTGTGGTATTGAACCTTCTTTCATAGAGATCCATTCATTTTAACTAAAGTTTTTGTCCGGAAACCAAATGTTTCTTCGGACGACGACGACGAAAACGGCATGATAGTATTTTACGAACGCAAATTTTTTGCGGTCGCATAAAAATTAATAGAATTTTCCCACCCGCCCCACTTGCTTAAAACAGGCGGATGATCATCTTAAAATTAACTTGATGTGGGCATACTGGAAATAACTAAAAAAAACAGAATAAAAAAAATAATTGAAAAATATGAAATATAGTATCTTCGCCGCGATTTATAGAATTGTCTTCTGAAAGTACGATGAAATGGTCTTGTAGTGTAATCAAATAGTCTACTGGTAAATAAATGACACCTCGTGTTATAAGAAATTGGTAGCTAGATATTGATATGTCTTCATAAGATATTATATGACAGAATAGTATGGTAAAATGACAAAATAATATGAAAAGGTAGCTCCATGTTATATCAAGATGTCTTCGTAGAATAAAAGAATGTCTTCATGACAATGTAAAATGACAGAAGAGTATGAAAAGGTAGCTCCATGTTATATAAAAACGTCTTTATAGTATATAAATGTATCTTAGTGATATAGCAAATTGACAGAGTAGTATCGTCAAATGTCGTAGTAGTATAGGAAATTTGCTTTTTGTTATATCTCAACCCTTAATGATATGATTATCGTCACTATAAGGCAGCTGTGGCGTTCTATATTGAAACTCAAATCAAAACAGTTAAGAGGTCAAATCAAATTCGAAACATTAAAAACCGTGTATTTGCAAAAGTTTTGCCAATATGGATATGGCAATCTATAACTTAAACGCTTGAAACTAATAATTGAAAAATCATGCACAGAAAAATGCATATCAACCCCTTCCACATAAGAAACAGATTCTTATTATCGTTTTGTGACGATAGAATTCATATGAAGATTGGAAATATCAAATACCTAGCTTCCAGGCATCCACGTATAAAAAGGTTCGAGTTAATTCTTATTAAGGGTATACGATACAGTTACAGGGAAGGTAATGACGTTGCCAACGTAAAATGTTATTTTTCGCGACGTCAAACTGTGATCTATCAGGAAAAGATGCATTTTCGACAGATTTTTATCATTCAAACTGATTTAACTTGAAAACGAGTTCATGGACTCCTAGTTTTAAAATGACACTAGGTTTGAATACGTATGAAAATTATTTGTTCCAATTTTTATGAAAAAGTCAACGATGAATTTTTTTTAGATTAGATAAATATACAGCAAAAAAATGCCGTTTTTTCTAAAATCCTAAAACTTTGATAAAATTTCAATATTTCCAAAGAATTGTTATACTCATATAGAGCATACTCATGTAAAGAAGATTTTCCAAATGTTTTTACAAAAATTCGCTTGTGTTTATCTTTTGAAACAAAAAAGTTAGGTATGTCTATCCAAAGGATAAAAATGTCCAAAAAACCGAAATTTTGAGTAAATGTCTAAAATTTCGACCCCAATTATCTCTTAACGTGGCACATGAAGGTATATCTTTTATTACATATTTGAATGGCTTATGTGAAAAATAGCTTGCATGCAAATTTTCGTCAAAAATTCATCGTGGGATCGAAACTGTATCTTATGCCCTTAAGATGATGTTATGGAATAGTTCCCTCAATGACTATTTGATTATAGTATTGTGTGAACAAATTAGATGTAAGTAAGCATCAATGATAAAACAAGTCAACGACAAATACAACCAAATACATCTGGAGGGCAAAATACTGTCTTCTAAAGGAAACAGATGTCTATATAAAATGTCAAGATATAGTTTTTATTAGGTGTGAATAAATTTAACAGAAATAATCAAAGATATCCATTTAGACCCAAATTCTCAAAATTATGAAAAAACTACAGGCGAGGTTCTTGGCTTGTGTTCATTAAAAGGTTTTCTAATGTGTAATGAATATAGTAAAATAATGCAGATTTACTCTTTTTTATAAACATAATGACGGTGGTATAGTATGATTATGGCCCAACTGTTTATATCAAAGTGCCTTTTAAACTAAAATAACCAATTGATATCAATTTTCAGGACTTCATATCATTCATTCAAATATAATTTTACCACGCAAAATAAAGGTAGTTAATCTAAAAAAACTAATACAACACAACAAACATTTTTTATAAGTTACTACAATTACCCTTTGTATGATCAGTAAAACATTTACCCTACAACAAGCACTATTGACCGTTCAAACGATTCTCGCTTTCCTTACAGTAATTTTTATTTACATATTAGTTACATAAACATGATAAAGAAGAAACTGAGAAAGAAATGAATGAATCCATTTGAAACAAAATTTAACTTATTACAAAACAGTAGCTTAACAGTAACGCAATAGAGAAAATATTGTTGAAATTCTTTACTTTCGGTTTTAATAATATCAACCTAATCATAGTTCATCCTCCTTGGTCATGACAAATACACAACTGCAAAAGCAACAAATAAAACTTACCTGTTGGATTTAGTTAGATCAACAGATTAAGAATAAACTACTACTGGTCTGCTGTTTAACTCGCAATACTGGTTCTTGAAGACAAAACTACGTAAACACCTACTTAATATAAGGATGATAAAGTTTGATGTATAACGTTTTTAAACACTACACGGCGCTGTTATCCGCTAAGTGTAACTTCCTGGTAACACCCGTCGGTTAAAAATAAATCAAACAAATTTGATATTTCATTCGTTACAGCAAACATTCAAATTAATATCTTTGCAATGCTGAAAAAATCAACACCATGATTTTTTTGATCTATTAAAGAGGAATATTGTATATTCACTTTACGATGTTGTTTATTCACTTTTCATTTATACGCAATGATGGGCAATTCTTCGGGGGGGGGGGGGGGGGGGGGGGGGGCACTTACTATGTAATGAGTGGTAGGGATGACCCGCTGGAATAGGTCACTATTTCATGCACCATGATATAAGAAAAGGATGAGAAATTCAGATTGAATATATCATTAGGTTGATATTATCACTTGGTTGATTATATCTTAAGTATCTGAAACTAATCAGATGTCAGTATTTATTTTTGATGCGGTTAAACCACAGTCGTAATTGTCAAACCAATTAATCTCTATTTATCTTCCAATGTGGTATATCCACTGATGCTAGTTATAGATGCTATAAATCCGATTATTTCGACATTTGCACCTAATTAACATTCAAAGGTTTGTATGAAACATGAAAACAATTATTAAAAGAAATCCCATAGTGTCAGCGTCCTTAAAGAGGAAATGGCAATTTAACTTTTTATCAGTTTTTCATTTATATAAAACTTAAAGAATTACTCTCTGTGGTGCTACTATCTGGCTATAGAAAAATATATCTAAAGGTCTGGTTTTTTTTTTTGTTAATTGATATATGACAGGGTATATATTTTTGATAAACAGAATATATGAAAAGGGTGGAGTACTTGATGTTTCAGCTGCTCACCCCTACCAAAGAAAGATTGAAGTGCTCATCCTCCCCCCTTTCGAGGGGCAATTAAAGCCGTATAGGTTTAAAACAACAACATATAGCCTATATTTGAAAAAAAAACAAATAAAAAGCCTACAAACCATCCACTTAGAGAAGTAAGGAAACTGAAACTTAACGACACAAAATAATACCAAAAACCGAGAGTGAACGTAGCCGGTGTTGATATGTAAAAAACGAAATAGTTAAATCACACTACTCTTTCAGTCTGTGGGTTTTTTGTATGTCAGATCTTCCTTTTTTCTTTTTGTTATTGGGTTTTTTCAACATGTGCTGATTGGAGTTCTTTAGTAATTTCTAGTTATTTATTCACAACCTTTGCAGACTAGGAACGATGTAAAGCTGGTCATATTGTACAGATACCTGTCTAATGTTGGAGAATCATAAATTGCACTCTGGATGTCTCTTGTCTGTTTGTACTGTTTGGTAACTGAAGCTGATGTATGCTCCTGATTTCATTTTATTCTTACATAATTCAATTCTTACTGCTAAATGAAGACTACACGTGTGCATGCTACTGTATGTTCTTTTAATGTCACAATGTTGTATATTCATTTTTCATTGATACGTAATGATGGACTATTAGGTCGAAAAGGTACTGTTGTTGTTTATCTATCTTTGACCTTATACTCCAGTTATAGCCAAAACTAAAAAAAAACAATAAAATCCAACAATCATTGTTCCATAAAATTGCTGGTTTGATAAAAAGAATATTCTTTCAATCTTCATTAGCTTATTTGCGATAACATTTCTTGGATTGTAGCATAAAATAAAATTTCATGTTTACAAAGGGAAGTGCAGCGGTATAATACACGTAATTTGATTGGATGACTAATCAGATTCTACTATAGATATGATCTCAGCGGCTGTCTGTGAATAAAGTGTAGTAGTCAGCCGAGAACCAGCTTATAAAACATCTTGATTCGAAAGATGTCCGTAAGCGGGAATTTTCCAGAAATTACGTCAGGAGACGCCACATCTAAATTATCGTATCAAATTGGAGACGCGGGAAATTCTAGTGTACGTTGATCACCAAGAATAGTTTGTGACACATGAAAAAACTCAGTCTATGTCATCCATGCACTAGTTAATACCAATTTCAGACATCAATTTATTATGAATTTTTTAAGAAGGTTGGTTATATCGTTGGTGTTTACTCTATATTTTACCTTTAGAGTTTTGCAGAATCCTTACTTGCATGAAATTATATAAATTCAAATTCAAATTTATTGCCATGTAAACTTTAAACAATAAGTTTGCGACAAAGTACAAATCAAGTATTTATTAGCTGAAAATTCACATATATATACGTGTACACAATCATTTAATCACAGTAAATAGTACAGAGTCTCCTGTTTCCTCAGTTCTAATAACTTTTTGATGTAGGACCCCAATTTATTTACTTGTGATGGTGTTGATGGATTTTACATATATAACTCATTGTAGAAAAAAAAATTACAATATCCTGCCAATATCTTCTATTTAAAAACCCGTAAAAATTGTAAGAAATAGAATGTCAATAAACTAGTTGAATACAGTGACTCTTTATTTCCTAAAAATAGTGACAAAGAGATATTTTGTACAGTGTCAATTTCATATTGCGCCACTCTTTCTTACAAGACAGTAGGGTTTCATTTAGGGATGGAAAATAAGTAACCATTTTAATGGCTATGAATATAGTCACTATAGCTGCAGTATAAAACAATATCTGATTAATGTAATAAGGATATGAACTCTTTTTTTGGTTTTCAACACGAAACTGTAAAAATGCTCAGAAAACCTCGCCTTTCCACGGTTTCTCAGATTCACACAATTTTAGAATTTTGCATTTTCTGACGTTGATCAAACATTGTATATTTATGATACAATGTCTTGTAAATAAGTTGAATTTTGATTAGTAATTTAAACAAACCGGTATTTTCAAATTGATGAATTATAGAATAATAATAATTTACTATCGTACATAACTTTGAACGTTCAAATTCTGTTTGAAAATTTTAAAAAACTTGACAACAGAGGGGAAAAAACAACAGTCGTTCATCAAATTATAAGGAAGAATATAACGAAAAATTATATCCTCATATTTAAGTAATATCTGCATTTGTAAATAGTCAAAAATGTTTAAGAAATCATGTAACATTTGCTATATTTTGCTTTTATTTCTCTTTTATTGGATATTTGAGATTTCTACAAAAACGCTAAATAAGATTTATTTCAATTTAGGTTCATCATAGGTTTGTACATCATAGATTTGAAATAGCCATGCATACATCTACAATTATTTATAGTTACTTCCCAAAAATCTGTCACAAAAGATACAACCAAACAAATTGAGTGTCTTTATTGAAATAAAAAAGCAATAAATACCAAAATATTCAGTATAAATTATGACCTTATTCATGTTATTGTTCAAAATTAACAAAAGTCAGGATGAAAAAGTCCGATTTTACAATAATCCACCGAGAAATGAAAATCAAACGTTTGTAGTATAATTGTATTCAATAAATATAATCCAGCTTCAAAATGTTCATTTGTATTCAATTAAATACTGACAAATCCAAGCATTTCATTTTAAAAGCAGACTAACTGGAATTTCCAGGTGTCAATATGCAACTTACGTGATTATCATTCTCGTATATACATTAACATGAGCACAAAGAATGACGTTCAAGATTATTTATATCTTAATCTTAACAGTTCTTTCAACAAATGTGAATACGATTTTATCTTTTCAATTTACTGTAGTAAAATTGTTAACTATTCAACCAACTAACAAACTGGCAATGTTCCAAAATCATTCAATGTATATACCACAACGGTATGTATATAACAGTAAATATAACTTGTCATTAATTTGGTTTAGTAAGAAATTTATAAATATTTTACAAATCATATGTAATGTGCAAACTGATCTTGTTGGCATTCATACTACATCTCACAATTTTTAAATGTAAATAAAACCAAATCACATTTATCGTATATAACCCTGTGATTTTGAGTGTATTAGTCCAACTTATCTAATATCAATTGATGTAACATTAATTATGTCGTTGAATACAATATGAAGACAAGTACAAGAAATATTAAAATACAAAAAGCGGCACACTTTGAACAAAAATTGTCTTCAACTCTACCGTTCTCAATATATCCATTTGATGTTGATTCTGTTTTTCAATCGATATTTGTGTTGAATACTTTGGCAATCCGGGATAATATTCATCGGAGTGTTCGGTATCAGAATAGTCTGATAAGGTTGAAGAAGATCGAACTGGTTGCACAGCATACATGATATTATAGTCTGATGATCCAGAATTATGCAAATGCGTGCGACTATAGTTTTCATATTGATCTATAGATCTTTCTGTACTGAGCTGACGCCAGACAAATCCGCCAGCATAACCTCGTATATGCACGATTGATCCCCCATTACATGTGGTAAACTTATTTGAATTTATACCGGAAGTTTCGTTCACTGGAATTGAATTCAATATCCGTACTTCTTCCGCTTTTCGGAATACCCAGAGCCTTCGATTATCTTGTGTGAACCACTTGTCATTCCACCAAAACACGCTGATTGTAGGAATACTTGTAACTGTGGCTGATCCATTTATAAGTTCGTCTAATGTGTCTCCAATATACACATTTCTATGTCTTGTTGATTGTCCAAATGTACTTGCAATTGAATCCTGAGAATAAAATATTTCTGTTGGCCTTAGATACATATTCACTACTATGCAAAGTTAGTTTCACTATAGAAATACGATTTTCAGAAAATACACATTATGTTATTCTATTCTTAATCACCAAGAAAGTATCCCAAAGTGCAAATTACGTAATGAACATTAACACGTTTGATATTAGAACAATCGAATTAGTACGGATAACAAAACTGAAAATCAGTTCAAATCCTTGTATTAAATATAAACAAAGATTTCTTAAAAGTATAAATCACAGATACTTGTTAATTATAACGAATTGATTTAGATTGGTTCGATCGGCATTTCTTGATTCATCTTTAATTATAACGCTCAGAGTTAAAACGTTCCGAAGGACATTGTTGTATTTTGGAAAATTTGAAGAAAATAATCCGAGAGTAATTTAACACTGAATTGCCTAACTATAACTT